GACTTATTCTCTTTAACATAAAATACAGTTAATTGTGATACTTTTTTAATGTTTAAACCCAATAAATTAATTCATGTCTCTCAAACTCCAGTCCAACCAGTAGGCTACTTGTCCTTTTGCTTCAAATTTACTCACCCTCGGACTATCCAAGATATAGATGAGTTTCTTTCTTCATCAGAACAGATTTAGAGAAATTTAGCATTACTTCACTTGCTCACCAATGGATCCTCTGCAGTGAATGGGTGCCGTCAGAATGAGAGTCCAAACAGCCGATAAAAACATAATAATCCACTAGTAATCCACACCTCTCTTGATCAATTAATGTCTTGTGAAGTGAATAGTGACTTTAATCCGTTGCTTCTGGCCAAACTACAAGTCCATAATCCATAATAATGCTTACTTCAGAAGTGAAACAAATCTAAGATGTAAAATCTGTTTTGATGAGGAAACAAACTTCTCTACATCTTGGATGTCCCGAGGGTGAGTAAATTTTCAGCAAAGTTTCATTTTTGGGTGAACTATTCCTTTAAGACTATCCCCAAAATCAAATGACTTCCTAAATGTAACATAATTTCCTTGGTGGGAAAGTATTAGTCATAGACTTGTTTAATAGATTAAAACATTACATGTCCATTCTGTCAATTTATACTAAGCATGAAAATATGTTTTTTATGTATGTATAAAAGTTCTTCATAAATGTTAAAGAGGAAGATTTGTATATTTTTTCAACAAATCCGCTCAATCCTAAATCCACCAAACTTTTGGTAATGAGCCATATGTGTTGTTGTTGTGTTGTTAATACCATGGGATTCTTTTTAGTGCCTTGTACCATATAAATACAGTGGTATGACCAAACTCATCCCACACACAGAGTATGAAAGCAGATATACTTTTTAAGAATGTCTGTCTATTAAAACACTTCACGTTTATGGCATTAAGATGATTGATTTATGTTTTCTTTCCAAATGTAGTGCCCTCATTTTCTGAATTATAAATATTTTCTTTCTCACATAGCCTGCAGCTGTTCACCACAGGTATTCTCTTTAACATGTTTCACTCACAGGTAACATGTCATACTTGTTGAACTTCAATGATGATTAATGTTCTACCATAGAACAACCAGTGTGAGCTGGTGGCTCATGAAAAATAATATTCTCTTAAATATATGTGTAAACTAAGCACAGGAGTAACATACCTGAATTCAACCAACTGACATTTACTTGATTGGTTATTCTTAAAGGGGTAGTTCACCTAAAATTAAAATTTTGTCATGATTCACTCATTCTTGTGACTATATTCTCCAGAACACAAAAGATATTTAAGAAACACTGGCATCCAAACAACATTGGACTTCGGATAAAGCTGAGTATATATAATGACAGAATTTTTACTTTTAAGTTGAGTGCATTTCAAAGTTTTGCAGTTTCTTGCTTATATCTATCTATCTATCTATCTATCTATCTATCTATCTTATATTTATTTATTTATGTAGATTGCATAATGCAAAAAAACTACAATAAATAAATATAGCCTATATGTAGGTATATAAATGTGTCAATAAAATAAAAAACATAAAAAAATTATGTAACTTTAAAATTACACACACACACACACACACACATATACAGTGGGTACGGAAAGTATTCAGACCCCCTTAAATTTTTCACTCTTTGTTATATTGCAGCCATTTGCTAAAATCATTTAAGTTAATTTTTTTTCCTCATTAATGTACACACAGCGCCCCATATTGACAGAAAAACACAGAATTGTTGACATCTTTGCAGATTTATTAAAAAAGAAAAACTGAAAAATGCTCAGTATTTAGTAGAAGCACCCTCTTGATCTAATACAGCCATGAGTCTTATTGGGAAAGATGCAACAAGTTTTTCACACATGGATTTGGGGATCCTCTGCCATTCCTCCTTGCAAATCCTCTCCAGTTCTGTCAGGTTGGACGGTAAACGTTGGTGGACAGCCATTTTTAGGTCTCTCCAGAGATGCTCAATTGGGTTTAAGTCAGGGCTCTGGCTGGGCCATTCAAGAACAGTCACAGAGTTGTTGTGAAGCCACTCCTTCGTTATTTTAGCTGTGTGCTTAGGGTCATTGTCTTGTTGGAAGGTAAACCTTAGTTCCAGTCTGAGGTCCTGAGCACTCTGGAGAAGGTTTTCGCCCAGGATATCCCTGTACTTGGCCGCATTCATCTTTCCCTCGATTGCAACCAGTCGTCCTGTCCCTGCAGCTGAAAAACACCCCCACAGCATGATGCTGCCACCACCATGCTTCACTGTTGGGACAGGTGATGAGCAGTGCCTGGTTTTCTCCACACATACCGCTTAGAATTAAGGCCAAAAAGTTCTATCTTGGTCTCATCAGACCAGAGAATCTTATTTCTCACCATCTTGGAGTCCTTCAGGTGTTTTTTTAGCAAACTCCATGCGGGCTTTCATGTGTCTTGAACTGAGGAGAGGCTTCCGTCGGGCCACTCTGCCATAAAGCCCCAACTGGTGGAGGGCTGCAGTGATGGTTGACTTTCTACAACTTTCTCCCATCTCCCGACTGCATCTCTGGAGCTCAGCCACAGTGATCTTTGGGTTCTTCTTTACCTCTCTCACCAAGGCTCTTCTCCCCCGATAGCTCAGTTTGGCCGGACGGCCAGCTCTAGGAAGGGTTCTGGTCATCCCAAACGTCTTCCATTTAAGGATTATGGAGGCCACCGTGCTCTTAGGAACCTTAAGTGCAGCAGAAATTTTTCTGTAACCTTGGCCAGATCTGTGCCTTGCCACAATTCTGTCTCTGAGCTCTTCAGGCAATTCCTTTGACCTCATGATTCTCATTTGCTCTGACATGCACTGTGAGCTGTAAGGTCTTATATAGACAGGTGTGTGGCTTTCCTAATCAAGTCCAATCAGTATAATCAAACACAGCTGGACTCAAATGAAGGTGTAGAACCATCTCAAGGATGATCAGAAGAAATGGACAGCACCTGAGTTAAATATATGAGTGTCACAGCAAAGGGTCTGAATACTTAAGACCATGTGATATTTCAGTTTTTCTTTTTGAATAAATCTGCAAAAATGTTGTGTGTGTGTGTGTGTGTGTGTGTATACAGTGGGTACGGAAAGTATTCAGACCCCCTTAAATTTTTCACTCTTTGTTATTATTGCAGCCATTTGTTAAAATCATTTAAGTTAATTTTTTTTCCTCATTAATGTACACATAGCACCCCATATTGACAGAAAAACACAGAATTGTTGACATTTTTGCAGATTTATTCAAAAAGAAAAACTGAAATATCACATGGTCTTAAGTATTCAGACCCTTTGCTGTGACACTCATATATTTAACTCAGGTGCTGTCCATTTGTTCTGATCATCCTTGAGATGGTTCTACACCTTCATTTGAGTCCAGCTGTGTTTGATTATACTGATTGGACTTGATTAGGAAAGCCACACACCTGTCTATATAAGACCTTACAGCTCACAGTGCATGTCAGAGCAAATGAGAATCATGAGGTCAAAGGAATTGCCTGAAGAGCTCAGAGACAGAATTGTGGCAAGGCACAGATCTGGTCAAGGTTACAAAAAAATTTCTGCTGCACTTAAGGTTCCTAAGAGCACGGTGGCCTCCATAATCCTTAAATGGAAGACGTTTGGGACGGCCAGAACCCTTCCTAGAGCTGGCCGTCCGGCCAAACTGAGCTATCGGGGGAGAAGAGCCTTGGTGAGAGAGGTAAAGAAGAACCCAAAGATCACTGTGGCTGAGCTCCAGAGATGCAGTCGGGAGATGGGAGAAAGTTGTAGAAAGTCAACCATCACTGCAGCCCTCCACCAGTCGGGGCTTTATGGCAGAGTGGCCCGACGGAAGCCTCTCCTCAGTTCAAGACACATGAAAGCCCGCATGGAGTTTGCTAAAAAAACACCTGAAGGACTCCAAGATGGTGAGAAATAAGATTCTCTGGTCTGATGAGACCAAGATAGAACTTTTTGGCCTTAATTCTAAGCGGTATGTGTGGAGAAAACCAGGCACCTGTCCAATACAGTCCCAACAGTGAAGCATGGTGGTGGCAGCATCATGCTGTGGGGGTGTTTTTCAGCTGCAGGGACAGGACGACTGGTTGCAATCGAGGGAAAGATGAATGCGGCCAAGTACAGGGATATCCTGGGCGAAAACCTTCTCCAGAGTGCTCAGGACCTCAGACTGGAACTAAGGTTTACCTTCCAACAAGACAATGACCCTAAGCACACAGCTAAAATAACGAAGGAGTGGCTTCTCAACAACTCTGTGACTGTTCTTGAATGGCCCAGCCAGAGCCCTGACTTAAACCCAATTGAGCATCTCTGGAGAGACCTAAAAATGGCTGTCCACCAACGTTTACCGTCCAACCTGACAGAACTGGAGAGGATTTGCAAGGAGGAATGGCAGAGGATCCCCAAATCCATGTGTGAAAAACTTGTTGCATCTTTCCCAATAAGACTCATGGCTGTATTAGATCAAATGGGTGCTTCTACTAAATACTGAGCATTTTTCAGTTTTTCTTTTTTAATAAATCTGCAAAGATGTCAACAATTCTGTTTCTTTCTGTCAATATGGGGTGCTGTGTGTACATTAATGAGGAAAAAAAATTAACTTAAATGATTTTAGCAAATGGCTGCAATATAACAAAGAGTGAAAAATTTAAGGGGGTCTGAATACTTTCCGTACCCACTGTATATATATATATATATACTCACTTTTATCCGAAGTCCAGTGTTGTTTGTATTTATTCATTTATTTTATGTAGTTTACATAAAATATATATTAAAATAAAATAATTACTGGTGTTACACATGCATGTGATGTGACCCTTGCCTTGAGACATAAGAGGTTGTCATTGATCTTACCGTGCAGTTGCATCACATATGTCATTATTGAATTATCCTGAATCGATTTACAACTACATGATGTCTTTAGCAGCATCCCTTGTCAAATGCATTGATGAAATGAGTGATATAATGCATCAGCGTGCCGTACGCGCTTGGAGTGAGGCAGGACCTGGGGGAGGAGACATGTGTATCACGCTTTCGCTCATGCTTCTGTGTTTCGCCTACCAATTCCACATCATCATGCACGATGTTCCCGCGAACTGAACGAGCGCACTGACACTACGATCATCCAGTATCCCTCCAGCACACCTTCATCTTCTGTGGATCTGCTCGCGTTTAGCTTTGCGCGAGTCGTTATTTAATTCGTATGACTTCATGGGACGTGCTTTTAACGCGAAACGGTTTAAAGACCTACAAGTCGTCGTCATATTATTTCTTTCTGCGCTTGGAGACAATGTTTTAAAGCAAACACTGGCGTGCGCGCTTCGCTTTAAATGAGCTCGGATTGGTGAGCCACTGGGAACCCAAGCAAGGAACTAACTTGAACTACGAAAGTGAGTATTACGCTTTATTTTTATCGACTGTTTTACTTGTTTCGTGATTGTGTTATGATATGTCAAGACTATTACAATTCATGACGCGATTTTGACAGATAATCGGTTGTCATTGTAATTCCATATGTTTTTGCACTATGTGTGTCGTGTTTTTGTATAATATTCCCATATTGGTCTGCTTCAGATTAAAGTAGTTTAGAAACCTAGTATTTGTCCCTTAACTGTGTAAATTAATGTCAAGTAGCCTATCCTATACCTCCACTACCAAGGTGTGTTGTAACTGAAAACATGGTCATTTGTAAAAAAAATTTTATTGTGGCAGGCTATACAAATTTACTTAATTATTATAGACTATCATTCCACCACCCTCACTTCATTTGAACCATTTTAATTTATAAAGGTAAATGAAAAGGAAACATTTTAATCTAATCAGCAAATAAAGTTCGGAAGCAAATATAGAACAAATAGATATATGCTAACGGTGTGTGTGGACATTAGAAATTTAGAAAAGTAATCAAAAAGTAATCAAATGTAATCAGTTACATTACTTTAATAAAGTAATTGAAAAGTTACACTACTTATTACATTTTAAGTAGGGTAACTTGTAATCTGTAACCTATTACATTTCCAAAGTAACCTTCCCAACACTGGTGGCAGATGTATACACTATCCCATTTTTGTGGGTATAACAAAGTATTTGGAAAGTGTTACAACCCTTCTCGGTCTGGTCAGCTTTTCAAATGTAGATGAAAACTGTGCTTTGATGTTGTAAATCAAATTGAACGCAAGAACCTGCTGATTCAGATGAGACACTGATTAATATTGTCTTAAATCACATTATAAATCAGGCTAGAAATATGACTTTCTTACACTGAAATAGTTTTTTGTCCTGTACATTTCTGTACACATTGTCAACTCAGGAGGGTAGTGATCATGCACTTTACGGTAAAATACCGAAGATGTAAGATTAAACCCTAGTGTACACAACTGATAAGAAAAAACTAAGAAGAAACGTTATTTCAACAAAATAAAAACATAAAATATGAAGTGTCATGCAGGGAATCCTGGGAGTGTCGATTTACGTTTTTTTCACTGTAAATTATACAATGACTTTTTCTTTTTCACTTCCAAAAACCGTATTTTTAACAGTATTTTACTGTAGAATCACATTAAATGTTATTACATTTATTCACCGAATATAGTATGGAAACTTACTGTTAACCTGTTAACAGGTTTTTACTGTAGCATTTTTACAGTCTTTTACTGTTAAAATCACAAGCATTTTTTTACAGTGTGTATTGTAGTAATTTCACCCCTGTAGCTCATTTTTGATTGGCTGAACTGGTAACTGACTATAACTAGTCATTAGTGTATCCATTTATTTCAATGGCACTTCGCTTCCACCACAGCTGGCAGAGGATCCCATCTTAGCTCATGGGTGCTCAGTTATACTGCCCGTTTTCTTTTTTTACAGCATGAAAATTACATCATGACAATGATGACTCTACAAGAAAATGTACAGTCCCAAACCCTTCACTAATGACTATGCTGAGCTATAACGTTAACGGCAGTAGACAGGGAAAATTATGTCAATTTCACACTTTTTTTAGAGCCTCCTAAAAGGATCAGGCACTTGTGAAATATGTGCTATCTACCATCTAATATAATTACATTTTTGCATTTTTTTTTTTTTTCAAAATGAAAAATAATGCAGAATACAGATATTTTTTAATAACCTTTAATGGAGAAATATGGTGTAATTACAGCATCTTCCAGAAGGGGTTATAATGGAGCCTGTATTAACGAGCTAAACCTTGACCTTTGGTTTCTCACCCCAGTTTCCCCTACTATTATGCATCTAGTTATATACACTATGTTTCAGTCATTTGTATATGATTTAAAGTGCTTATTTATTCGCTGTGATTACAAGATCTCACTTGAACTGGATTTTTATTCATTGCGTTTTTCCTTGCCAGTATGCAAGACAGTTGTTTATCCATTTTTCTACATGTAGTTTACAGCTGTCTTTTGAAAAATGGCGAGGCTTTCGCTGTCCGAATTACATGCATGCTTAAATAATTGACATGCATGAATGATTAATTCAGACATAAACCTGGGCATGGTTTTCATGTGAGTACAGGAGCTGGCCGTTGTCGCTCGCACTTCTAGAAGGCTATTGAATAAATCATAGTTCTAGAACTGACAGGGAGCGAGCCTCGGGCACTGTGAGCTCATCATGCCCTGTTATTCATATTAATGTTTTTAAAAAGGCAAAGTCTCACCGGACCTACAGGCAAATTTAGTTTTTTTTTTTCTAGCCAGTACAGTGGCATATGTTTGGATGGTTCAGGGAACATTATTCCAAAGGTGAACAACATCCAGCCTCTGTGAGGTTTGTGAGGTGTATTAGGATGCTTAGATGGCATTCTGGTGCATGGGAATGCTTATATCTACATTTTTCTGAGTTCAAGTGAGCTTTATTGTCATTCCACCATATATGGAGACATATGAAGGAATGAAATGTTATGCATCACAGGACCATGGTGCTACGTATTTAAACATACATAAACATACACATAGCTAACCTACTGAAAGAATTAATCTGACATTCTGACATATGCATATAGAAAATAAAGTGGATTTAGACTACCAAAGCAAGTACTGTTATTCACTGCTATGAAAAGGCTAGTTTGAGAGAGATTTCAGTCTCGGCTGTATTTTTTTTTTATACTGCGAAATACCATATCAAAAAAAAGAAAGAGCATTATTTTAAGGAATAGTTGATCCAAAAATGTAAATTCAGTCATCATTTATTCACTCTTGTGTTATTCCAAACCTGTATGACTTACTTTCTTCTGTGGAACATGAAAGGTTTTTGAAAAATGTCTGTGTTTTTGTCCATATACTAAAAGTCAATAGGGTTCATTTGGGTTGTTTTGGATCCCATTGACTGTCACTGTATGGGCAAAAACATTTCTTCTTTTGTGTTCCACTCCATACAGGTTTGGAGCAACATAAAAGTGCACTGTAAAAAATCCAACTAGTTCTACTACAGTCTACTACAAGTTCTACTAACCAATGTAAAAAAGTAGCCCGAACAAAGAATTTTTAGTAGAAGAAGTCAGTTTAATTTTTTGTGTGAACTGAACAAAAATACTCTAAACATGTCGCTAGCAAAAGTTGTTTTGTTTACCTTACTTAGATACTCAAGTATTTGTTCACAACATATCCAAATGTTCTCCCAACCTTTCAAATGGAGTCATCTGAACAAACAATTTGACATTGAACAATATTGCACAAGTTCCCAGCATGCATTGCAGCTTGAAAACATTTTATGTTGATTATTATTAAAATATTATCGTTTTAAATTTTACTGGCTTAATTTATGCTGCTGCTGCTGTCACTGTCAGTTAGCTGTCATGTGGAACAGAGTTCATATTTTACTGATTTAAAATTTGTTGATCCTCACCATGGTTGAGAATCGTGTGCTGAGGTACTGTATATGTGCATCCCATTGCAACTTGTTTAATACATTTGCCTATAGCATAAACGTTTGCCTTTAGTTTTAAAAGGCAAATACTACACATATTATGTAGAAGGCTTTAAAAATAAACACAAATCTAAAAGAAAGAGGATTGTTATAAAAGATTAGCATTGCTAAATGCTAAAAAATCTTTGGTTGCTCTGACAGGTCTTTTAACACTCAGTAGACTGACTTTTATCCATTAGATGAACTAAAGTTTTTAAGTTGTCGGTTGCTAGTTGAGTTAACTTAACAAGTTGAGTGCGATAGGTTGCCTTATTTTTTTGAGTTAGGTCAACTTTTTTTTTTTTATACAGTGCGAGTAAATTATGATAGAGTTTTTATTTTGAACTATGCCATTAATTCAAACCCTTCATGTGGTTTTTATACCACATATGAACATAAATAACTTTGCACTTTCTCTCTGATCATAAATTAACTCTTGTAAATGATCCTGATCTCTTGACTTTGTACATTTAGTATTTTTTTCCACAAGAACCAAAGTTCTTTTCCACATGTTTTCCTTTTTAAGCACTGTGATGCACAGCACTATGATTGTATACAGCACTTAGAGACAATCACATACTGTAACAAGGACTTGCATCATACATGAAACACAGCAGAGATTGGATCCGCAATGCAATGAGGTCCATAAATTCATATTAACTCAGCCAAAGTTGCAGTAGTTTTCTGTCAGAAAGCAGGGTAATGGATTTACTCAGAGAAAGCTGTGATACTTTGCCCCTTTCCCCACATATAACCATGAACATCTTTAACATCAGCAGTGCAGATTGGCTCAAGCACTGTAGCGTTCGTTGCCTCTGCATCCCGGCTCACGTTGATGTTGTTTTTTGCCTGTGTCAAGGTTGACTCGAGGTGATGCGCGCTGCACATTTCCTCTGGTGTGTGTGGAGTCTCTCACTTATGGAGATCACAGCTTACAATCCATTATGATGTAGCCCAAACCCCCAGGCAGCTGTGAACTTAAGTGAAACATGGTTACACTCTTAGAGTGAACTGTGGTTGGGAAGAACAGAGGGACTGTTGGGTGTTTTATGAGGTGGGAGATTCAAAATTCAAGTCGTAATTTTCTCTAATCTAATAGTGTTAGCTCTAGAATTCATGACACAAATTTGTTCATCCTTATTTAGTAATACGTTCAAAATTGCACCCATGCATCTGCCATAAATTGGTATATTGAACTTGTCAAAGAAATAATGAGCAATATATGTTTATATGCCATCATAGTCCCAGTTAATTACCATTTGTATGGAGACAAGCATCATTCTTTAAGGTGATGATTGCACCTCAGGCTAAAAGAGATCCATAGTGCTTCATACATGTAATGGATTACCTTCCGGCTCTATAGATTAATGAGGAAATGGTAAGGCCTGGTCCAGGTCCTCTTAAGTGCACTTTTGTTCATTTGAGATGAAATGGAGACATAGGATGTAACCCAAGGCTGTAATTAAACTCA